TAATACAGAGTCTTAGTATAATTGCACAGTTTTTAAGGGTCTAGGACCTGGAATTCAGGCTGCCAGGGTTCAGATATTTTTTTCTACCATATCCTGTGAGCTTAAGGCAGTTACTAAAGCTTTCTCAACTGATCATACCATCTAGAAAATGGATATTACACTTGTATTTTGATCATCAGGGCATATCACAGATGTTCTTTAAAAAGTCTTTCCTTTTGGACATATAATGGGATTGCACTTCCCCACCCCTTCTGAAGGTAGCTGGCCATGTGACATCATTTCACCAGTGAATTGGGAGTGGAAGTGAATAGTGTAATTTTGGGTGAGATGTTTTAAGAGCCAGTAAACAACTTATTATGTCCCCTGTTCCTTGCATTGGCAATCACAATGAAGGGCTGTCACCTGAGTCCCTAAGCAGCCTCCTCAATAAACCATGATGGGCATACAACACGAGTGACAAGTAAATCTTAATTGGGTTAAGCACATGAGATTTTGAAATATTTGTTTTTGCAGCATTATCTAGCCTATCCTGATCTAGCAGCACTTAACTTGGTCAGTCAGGACTGGTTAAGTCATGCTGCAGTAACGCCCAGCCTCATAAAGACATTATGTAGCTTATGCTGCATATGAACATCATGGGTTGATTGCATGCTATTCTCTATGTCACCCTTATTCAGGGACCCAGGCTGACAGAGTAGCTGCCATCTGCAAACCTCTTGGTTGTCATGGCAGAGGGGAAAGAGGGCATGGCAAACCATGTGCTGTTGACTCATCAAGCTTCTGCCTGAAAATAATGCACAGAACTTTTTCTCATATCTTGAGGGCCTCAGCTAACTGCAACAGCACAGGGAATGGCAATCCTACCTCTACTTTAGAGAACAATGAGTACTATAATATATTAGTGAAAGACAATAATCTTCTATCTCACAAATCTTCCATATTCTCTCCATATATACATCATCTACCATATATGTTACTTACAATATTGCCAATTTTAAATTTTACATTTTTATATGTAAATCTGTATCCTCGGTGTGGAAAATGATTTGTAAAACAACTGACATCTTAGTTCTAGGCTTAAAAAAGATATTTAATCAAATCTCTCTAGGTAGAATTTTCTTTGGGATCCATACAACTTTTTTTTTTTTTTTTTTTTTTTACTTGTATGGTGTATTCCTTTGGAAAGAAGAAAGATTATGGCCTCTAATCTTCTGGAATACTTAGTTATCAGGGCTCTTCTGGAAAATATCTATCAATGGGCCCCCTCTACTTCAGGTTTAAGAACATTTAAAGGGGCCCCAATACAATTTCTCTCCAATTTTCACTTTCCTTTATCAAAAAACATGCTCACTGTAGTTATGTTATAATACAAGTTATAATCACGTGTGTATTGCCTACCATGTACATCTTATTAGCACTCTGTAAAAGAATGACTATAAAAATTATTAAATTTGGAAGATTGACTTAATTGAAGTTTGGCTTAATTTCAAATCTAAACCTTATTTCTGTGTGCTCACTCTTATTGGTTGGCTATACAATCACATTGGCCACTAATTAGATTTTTTTAAAAGATAAAAGAAGAAAAATAAGAGAATCCTCATCCCTGATACCATGGTCATAATTTTTCTCATTTTAGTGACGAATCCATTCAGTGTTTGATTGAGTTCCATAGGTAGCCATTCATCTGGAACTTTCAATAATGTGACTGTGATGTCTACACACAGAACTCTAAACCAGCTGAAGGCCTACTAGCTTGCCTGCATAGAAAATTGAATTCTGCTCCCTAGTAAATAGCAGGGACAAGCAGAATGTGAGGATCAATGAAGATTAATGGCATATTACTTGATGCAAATTAAAACAGACAGAGGAAATGGAGTCTCTTGGGGTTAATCAGGGACTTAGCAGGGTCCCAAATTTTGCTCTGGGATACAGATGCTGTTTCTGCAACCCATGTTGGCTGAGTGAGATGGACACATTTATGATAGAGTTTTGAGGCTGTAGAATTAACAAAAGGGAAGGGAACCTGTCGTATCAGTATTTGTCAGGGTCTCATGATGTTTGTCACACGTTAGTGACAGAAAAACCTTTGAATATCTCCAAAAAGTCTTGTGACCAGCATTCACAAATGGTCTCACTTGTTTTGTCATTATATATGTTTCCTTCTTGGGGTGCCTGGGTGGCTCAGTGGGTTAAGCATCTGCCTTTGGCTCAGGTCATGATTCTGGGGTCCTGGGTTGGAGCCCTACACCTGGCTCCCTGCTAGGTGGAGAGTTTGCTTGTCTCTCTCCCTCAGCCCCTCCCACCTTCATATGAGCATGTGCTCTCTCTCTCAAGCACATAAGTAAAAAAAAAAAAATCTAAAAAAAAAATCTAAAAAAAAATGTGTTTCCCTCTTGACTTCTTTGCTGGAAGCTCAAAATTAAATCTGTGACGGTTTAAACATTGTTGCAGAATAGAAAACATTTTGGAGTACTGCTCAGTCTTTGCTTTACTTTATTTAACCTCATATACTGTCTTTTGCTAATTATTTTAAGGCTTCTAATGGAACCAGGCAGGGAATGAATGAATGCATTAATTTATTGACATCATTATGGCTAACTACCAATATTTATAGTTACAGTGATGAGACTAAGACTTACCAGAAGCCCAAAGATTTCATAAGCCAGATGATACATAAACCTATACAGATACATAAACCTATAGCTATCTGGGAGGTTGTTGAAATATAGTCTAATTAGATTGACTGACTGGTGGTCAATCTCTAGGCTGTTCTGAGCCAGAAATACATTAGTTTCTCAAGGAGGTACAGTCAAGCCCTAGAAAGAAAAGAAGAGGCCAAGTGATTTAGAAAAGAAAACCAGGTTGGGATATAAGTGGGAAATTTTCTTGAGGATCACCATTGAAGATGGAACCCAATACTTAACTGTTAGGAGAAATGGAGAGTAGTTATCAATATTAATGAACTCCTTGCGTGTCTCGGTTGACCCCTCACAGCTGGGGGCCTGGTGTAGCATTACTAGCTTGCTTAGAGAATTCATTGGGACAGAAGACAGAGGTTGTCTTTTGGGTAGTGGAGTCTGTGGCTCATCTCATGTAAACTGAGGTGAGGCAGGAAAACAGGTTGTTATCCGCAGCACCTATAGCAGTAGAGTTAAGCTCCTAGGGCTGGTGTTCTACTTGCCTGTTAGTCTACTGGTGGCAAATGGTGAATCCATAAAGGGATCCAAAGGATTTTTGGAGAGTGTTCCTTAGAGATAGGAAATAGGACAGAGGATAATGACTGGTGACCAGCAGCTAGGTAGTTTGTAGACAAGGAAAATACTTTTATATACTAAGTGGCCACAACTGGAACAAGAGTGTGTGTGTGTGTGTGTGTGTGTGTGTGTGTGTGAGTGTGAGTTGGTGAAATTGTGACTATGGAAGGTGGACTAGGCTGTGACATAAGCTCTGTGATGACATCCATGTATGTTTGGGGTCCTGGAGATGGCATCACAGCTCTTGGTCCAACCACCTATTAAAGTGCTTTACATGTATTAACTCACTTTATTTTTTGGCTCTGTGATATAGATGCTATTATTATAACCATTTTATGGAAGAAGAAGAAACACTTAGATAACTTTCCCACAGTCACTCAACTTCTAAGTCCAGTAACTAGGTTTCAAATCCAGGCAATGGGACTTCAGGCTTAGCCACCACATCACCTGAGCTTTGCTGTTATGAATCCCTACTTGGGATGGCATCGATGTCCCATATAGTCGTAATCAAGATGAACTCAGGAGTGGCAGAATTAGGAGGATGCATTACTAGCAGCTTTGTGCTCTAGTCAGCCCCTCTTCCCCTCTCCGTCATGTAACATCATGGCCTATTTTTTTGTGCTTAGCTCTCAAACATGAATGAATTCCCTTTTCTAAAACAAAAATTCATTGGTGGAGACTTCCTGTCTTCATCTTCCAACTAATTGATCTATGCAAAACTGTTTCTTCTACTTGTACCTCAAAGAACAGATTGGGTCTTGGCCTTTTCTCTTATTTAAGTCAAACTTTTCCCTCTGCAGTTACCATATTGACAAAAAAGCATTGCATCTTTTGCCATGCTTCTAAATACTAGTAAATTCCCTTTCATCCTGCTTCCAGGAAAATGGGTATTGTACTGGCCTTAGAAATGTATAATGCAGGGAAGAGCTTAAGTGACTCTCTGCAAGATGAAGTAAGTCTGTCTCTATCAGTTAAAATAAAATTCAACAAAAAGCTGTACCTACTTCATAGTTACACTCACGGAAATTGGATTCATTAGAGCCCCTAAGTACTGACACCACCACCAATTATCTCATGACTCTCAGAGCCTTGCTTTTGTCACAGATCATGACCAGACAATGGCCTCCTTGGCAGGGGGACAGCCCTCTGTAATAACTGGCCATAAAGACCATTAGTGGTGTCACTCCTTCTGCCTCTGATCTGTAATATGCTCCAATTACCATTGACAACATATCAGAAGATAATCTACTACAGGAAGGAATATTGAGTGCTCCAGCTCTGCTGTTTGACAAGGGTGGAGGACAGGAAATGTTAATTTTACCCAATAAGATGTTTTTTTACTTTAAACAATTGAAGTACAAGTGTGAGAAGAAAATAAAAAAGAAGAAAATAAGATGGCAGTGCCCCTAATTATTGTTTCCCAGAATCCCTCTCTCTTTCTCTCTCTCTCAAACTACTCTAGATCTGCCTCTTTAAATTGTCTTTATCTTCCTTAGGATTCAAGATAGCAATTAACACCTATAACAAAAATTTAAAGGATGTCAGTTACCTAGGAATTCTAATAGCAATTAAAATGTTATCAGGAAAAATTTAAATACTAGCTGAAGAAAAAGAAAAACAATATCATTAAAAATCTTCAGTGACATTTTAATGCTGGAAACAAAACTCTTCCCAGATCTCACGGGTAATGGTTTGTGCATAGAGAGACCTTTAAAATAAATGTCACAGAGGACAGGGAAGGCCCACCTGTTTAGAGTAGGCCAGGCAGCTTTTCAGAGGTTCTGGGCCACAGTACTGGTCCCCCAGAGGGTGAAGATTTGCAGACAGTCCACACCTGGAGAACTGTATCAGTCAGAGTTTGGCCAGGAAAACAGATCTAGTGTGAGTAATATGAAATGAGGGCTTTATTATGGGAATTAGACCATACACAACTGTGTTAAGAACTGGGGAAGTGCAGATCCAGAAGAAGAATCTGAGAAAGAATCAGCCGCTAACTAGTTTGACTGGAACTCTGGTGTAGGTGATGTCAGAACTTGCAGGAATATTCTGTGACCAAGAGGGAAGCCAAAGAGGGGGTCTACCGGAAGCTCTTGCTTCTGTGTAGGGCTTACTTACCAACATGGGTCTACAGCCAAGCACCCGTTGAAAGGGCTGGGCTGTGAGGAAGAGGAGCAGGACAAGGAGCTGAGGAGATGAAAAAAAGCGAGCCTGCCAGATGTATCTGCCAGATGCCACTGCCACACCTTGTCACGTGATCTTTGGAGAGTAATGACTTCTGTTTCACTTCCTTCTTCCATGTCCCATGCAAGTTCTTCCTTTGGTCATTTCTAACTGGCATCAAACTGAGTAGGGATTCTTGGACACATAGTTCCCGGAGTTAGCCAAATTGACAAATGTAGTCCAGCACTCTGACTATACAATAGATCCTTTTCCTCAAGCTATCTGGCATTTTTTTTTATTTCAATAAACACTTGCTGAGCACTCATTACTATTCTAAACATTAACATACCACAGAAAAATGGCTCCTTTTTTAACCCTTAAGGGAGCTTATATTCTAGTTAACAGAGAGAGATGTGAATGAAAATAAAAATTCATTGAATTCAATGTGATAAATGCAGTATTCAGATATGAACAAAGTTATTTTAAAATACCAAGGAAGAGATTCTTTCTAAAGGAATCAAAGAAAGCTTTTCTTGGGTATGAAATAGTAGTTAATACAACCCAGTAATTCAGCTCTTGTTAGAGAGAAATTAAAACATGTACAAAACCTTATGCATACAAGCACCAAAAATAGTAATACTAAACAGAAAATAATTCAAAGTCCATCCACTGGTGAATAGACACACACAATTTAATATATACATATAGTGGAATATTATGTAGCAATCAAAAAGAAAGGAACTACTGATAATATAAATGATTGAACTTCAAAAACATTTTACTAAGTGATAAATGCCAGGAATACTAAGAGCAGATTTATACTTGCCTGGTGCTTAGGCTGGGACCATGGATTGACTACATATAGGAATGAGAGAATTTGGGGATTGATAGAAGTATTCTACATAACTGTATTTTTACTAAAACCCATAGAACTATACGCTTAAAAATGAATGAACTATCTGATTTGTGAGTTAAATCTCAATAAAACTGTTTGAAACATTGCTACTTTCTCATTTGATGGGCCATGGCAGTTAACCGTAAGGTGATAAATACTTCCCAACACACTTTTGTATACAAATTCTTTGAAAGTCTGGTTTTATTAGTTGGGGACTCACTATATTAGGTGAGTATATTTATTTATTAACAAATAAATTCCAACATCTCAGCAAGTTGAAAAAAGAAACTTATTTCTTGTTGCTCTAAGTCCATAAAGGATGTTCCCAATTGGCATGCAGCTCTCCTTCAGATGTTTTTTTGGGTCCCCATCCTTCCCATCTTGTGTTTTTTCTATTTCCAATGTAGATTCTAAGATGGTGCTGTTCATTGGCATCAAGCGAAGGGAAGATAAAGAGGGCTTGGAGGAACACATGCAGTGGTGGTAGTAGGAGTGGTGGTGGTGGTGGTGGTGGTGGTGGGGCTTATAGGCTAGACCTGGATGGGATAAGCTTTACTTTCACTCACTTTCCAATGGCTAAGACCATCATACAGCCATGCCTAAAGGCAAGAAGTTTGGAAAAGCAGTCTAGCTGTGTGCCAGGACAAAGAGGAGGCAGGTTTGATGAAATGCTTGCTGAGTTCAACCACATCAGCCAGCCATGCTTCCCTTCTCATCTCTTTTCATTTTCCCATTTGAGGTTTGCAGCTGATATAGAGAGACATACAGGGCAGGCTCTAGAATGCTATCTCCAGTGACTGACTGATTTGAAACAGGGAGTCCTTCCTAATACTACCGGCCATGATCATGACAATGCTGACCAGACAATACCTTTTTTGCTGCATCATTATGCACAGCCCTTATCTGTATCTGGAATTGGCAGCTAAAATTGAGGAGCAAGAGTGCACTGATATCTGAACTGCTCTGTATTATAAAATAGACTGTGGCAGAAATTATGAGCATCACCCCTCTATGACACTTCTTTTCTTCAGGGACTCAGGATTTAGTGCATTAGCCTATAACCCTAACAACAAAGGGAAATGAGTAAGCTTAGCCTTCAAGTGATGGAGCAGGCTTGATGATGTCAGAACTGAGCAAGTCCTTGTCTGAGCAAAGAGATAGCTGCTATTTAGACAGCAGCTTGTTGCAACCATGTATGTTATCAATATTCCAGCTAATTAGAGTTTTCCACCCAGGGACCACTGGTAGAAGTCATAAAAACAATGGTGCCCTCTTTGTTTACAGACCCTAACCTATTTCATGCTCAGCTCTACTAATTCTCTACCTCATAAAGAAATTATCTGAGGGTTTATTAAAGCTTTCAGGATCCTCATAAAATAGTCTTTGTATGGCAGGAAGAGGATAATGACGGATTGTCCATTATCAACTATGCGTAGGATCTTGAAAAAGAGCTGGATGCTTGTTGCATCTTCATGATGGAAGAGCAGAGGTGCTTAATTACACCAAAGCACTATTATCCCGGCAGCACTTCTGCTATCACCATAAACACTCAAAATCTTTAGGATGAACTGCTCTGACTTGATAATGGTAATTGAGTGAAAAGGAATATTTAAAACTGGCTCTGCTTGTACATTTGTATTTGTCTTAGGACCTCAAGAGTTCCTGCCTAAAACTTTATGAGACTCTCCCTCCACACTTAAAATAACTCCCTTCCTCAGTGCTGTGTGATCCCGCTTTACCTACCTCCCCCATCTCACCGTCATTTGCCCCTCATTCACCACATCCCTGCTTCCCTGGTTGTTTCTTTTTCTTTTTTCTTCTAAAACAAAAACAAAAGCAAAAAACAAGGGTGCTGTGCCCTAGTGCATTCTATACGCGCTGTTCCTTTAACCTGGCATCTCTTACCCAGCAATTCACAAGTCTGGCTTCTCTTTATCTCTTGGCCTTCAGCTGAAATGTGGCCTCCTCAGGAAGGTTGTTCTTCACTATTCAGTATAACATTAGCCAAGCCCCCCACAACGTCATCCTGTCTTATTTCCTCTGTAACAGTTTATCATCACAAAGCTTGCTTAATTTCTCTCCTTGCTTATTGTTTGTCTCTTCCAAAGGAATGTTAGTCCCGTAAGGACAGAGATCTCTTCCTGATTTCCTCACTATTATTTCCAGCACCCTAAACAGTGTTGGGTACATAGAAGTATGGGGGGAAAAGACATTTCTTCTCTTCCAAATAAAAATAAGGAAAGACTATTTATTCAGAATTTGTTATAGCAAGGGAGTCAGGCTCCATCACTTGTATTTGGCAGATACTCAAAGCCAAGCAGAAGAGTGGAAAAGCTTTATAATGGAAAAGAAAAGGAAAGCTTCAGGAATGCCCTCGTTGGCCTGGGTAGCTGGAGGTGGGCTATTGAGAATCAGGGCATCTTGCTTGGATTGGTTAGCTGGCCATATTGGCTTTCTCCACTTGGTCCTAAGTTGGAAGTAGGGGCAAAACTTAGAAAAGTTGGTGGTACCTGGGTTGCTCAATGGTTGAGCATCTATCTGCTTTTGGCTCAGGGAGTGATCCCTGGGTCCTGGGATCACGAGTCCCACATCGGGCTCCCTGCAGGGAGCCTGCTTCTACCTCTGCCTGTGTCTCTGCCTCTCTCTGTGTGTCCCTCATGAATAGATAAATAAAATCATTAAAAAAAATTAGAAAAGCTGTCAGTTATTGATCGTGTCCTGGCTGTTTAGGGCTGATTGCAACAGAGGTTGTGGTTTGGAGCTGGTTGCTCTGGGTTACGGGTCAGAATTCTATTTTTATGTAGCGTCTAGTCATTGTCCCTTTGTATATTCCATCTCTCAGAAGCAATGTATATTTTTTACTTTGGGGTCTTTCCCAGCATCTTCTGTGGCCTTGGTTTTGCATCTAGTATTCATTTTCTTACTCATTTTCACATCTTCCTTCTTTCCCTCTCTTTTCTTTATTTTTAAAAAGATTTTATTTATTTATTTATTTATTTATTTATTTATTTATTTATTTATTTAGAGTAAGCAGGAGGAGGGTTAAGGAGAGAGGGGAAGAGAGAATATCAAGCACACTCTGCACTGAGTGCGGAGCCTGACACAGTGCTTGATCTCACGACACTGAGGACAGGACTTGAGCCAAAACCAAGAGTCAGATGCTCAACCAACTGAGCCACTCAGGCTCCCCTCCCTTTCTTTTCTAGAAAGGCCTCTACTGTCTCTATAGTCTCATCTCAATGTTAGACTGTTTATCTCAAATAGCTATCTAGTTTGGGTTCCAGCAACCACCCCATATTCACACTTTCTGCCAGGATCCTCACATTGTTCTGAGTGGGAAGTGTACCCAGGCACCAGTCTATCCCCAGACTGTATATTCCCAGTCCTTCCTGATCACAAATCTAGGGGTTTCTTTTCGACATCTACCCTCTTGTTTTGCTTTTCCATTTTATACCACCCTCTCTTGCCAAATTCTTACATCCATACTGTACACAGAACTGCTTTACTTTCTTTCTTTGTTGGGACTGCACCCGGCTTTGGGTCTTTTCCATACTACTGAATTTAGTCTCTCCTATAATGCAATCATTTGATTCCATCTCTTGCTTCCATCTTGGCAGATGTGACTGGGAATCTCCGGATCATAAGTAACTCACAGGGCCCATATGTTTCCTTTCCTGGTCCTCTCTTACCACCAAAAATAAAAGTGTCTCATGAGGGAAACAAATGGAAGTCGGCATACTTCCCACTAAATTTCTTTTAATTCTTGAGATTCTATGATTCTCCATCAGATGTTAGCACAGCA